TTTTTTTTTTTTTTTTTTTTTTTTTTTTTTTTTTTTTTGTTAGATTGCAATAGTGGAAACTCTTGCTACTTGTATTTGGCACTTTGGATTTTGAAATAAAGAGCACAAACAGCTGAACTGGGAAACTTCTCTGAAATTGCTTTAAGCCCTAATTTTGGCATTTTGTATACATGTGTATATATTCTGGTTGAAATAGCTGTTAAAAGCTATAGGAAAATGTGATTGTAATTTTGCCCCAGAAGAGTGAAGCAGTATATGTGTGTGTAGAATAGATCAGCTTTCTGTGCTCTCTTACAATGAAGAACACAAAATACGTAGAACATTGAAACACTGAATTTGCAAAGAGTCCCTCGTGGGGTTAGTTCTGATGGGACGACCGAGGAGCTGCACATAGCTTTTCTTGTGCTTTGGGAAGCTTGTGATCTCTTGGCCTCTCAAGATTCTTTAAGTGAAGTCTAATAATATACGGTTTCATGACATCTGACTTTTTTTTTTTTTTTTAAACCAGATGTTGTGCTGCTTCACACTGATCTTCAGTTCTATAACGTGCTTTGTGGCACTTAGTTGTCCCATAAGGGTTTGCTCTGATATCAGCTGTGTCAATGTGTTATCAATATGTAACAATAAAATCAACTAAACAAAACCTTTTTTTTTCTTAGTTCTGTTTATGCCTGGCTTACAGAATGTGATACCATGGTAAGGAATTGAAGGTTATCTCCTGGTGAGGTGACCTGAAGCAGTAATCCTGATTACTCTTAGTAGCGCTCATTTGCTTGAGGAATGTTTGTCTGAATGAGCCCGAACGTCTGCACTAGTGCTGTGGTGTGCAAAGTGCACTTGGTTCCCTGTCAGCGCTTCTCACCTTTGTGCCTCAGTGGCAGAAGTTATCTTCTCTGGCTCGATCACAACTATTGAGCTGTTTTGATTCAAGTTTTTCCTTCTAAGGACAAAATGGATGTAGTCATGAAGTGGGAGAAGAGAGGGGGAGCAGCTGCACAGCTGACTGGCATCCTGGTGAATAGAACTGCATCCCAGCAGATACAAGGGCTGGGAAGTGTTTACTTTCTTTAACCATTCAATTAAAACAGATCTTCAACTTCAGGCTGAAGCTGCTGGATCAGCATGGGTGGATGTTGTAGTGCTGCTTCTATGTGGTAAAGTCAACTGGCAGGGAGCTTCAGTGACTTAATACAGACTCAGTCCTATGTAGAAGAAAGAAGATAGTCTGAAACTCCAAGAGTCAGCAGGAGTAAGTGAATTGTTTTTATATTTTAGGCAGTATCAGGAACATTCTTTTTCCTTGGAAAAAAAAAACACATTTCTGGTTGTTCTGGGGAAATCTGTAGGGAATGTATCCCTTTCTCCACATCTTTATAGCCAGAAGTTGTTGCTACTGCCCAGAAGAGGTGGGAAAGTGATTATAGCAGTTCTGAGCAGCAAAAGGCTGTTGTGTAAAGTGACCTGGGCTACTGCTGATTCCCTGTCTGGGTTGCAGCTGTCCCTTGTGCGGTTACTCTGGCTCATGAGCAGTATGCTGTTCAAGGCTGTAGCAGATCATCACCCCAGCAAGCTGCTTCTTCCTACGACGAGATTGCAAGGAAGAGTTCTGAGGGGTAGAGCCACCCTTGTGTGAACTGTTGCCTGTAGCTAGTGGTACGGGGCCATGCATAGCAGTTCTGCAGTTCAGGCAGCATATGTTGCCTGCTCTTCCCTTTCCTCTGCCTTCCCCGCTTCCTTTTATCCCAACCAGTTTCTGCACTCAAAAATCAGTGGAGATTCAATCTGGGGAGTTGTATTTTTTCTGCTTGCCTGTTCAGATAAGGCATACACAATTAAAAAATGCACAGAGCTGCTGGAAGGCGCTTAACACAAATCCCTGCTTCCACTTTTTTTTCTATTTTGCAGTAGCAAACGTGCTGATTTAGGCAGCATGGCCATTGCTTTGCATGCTCTGAGCAGGCCCTCAAGTATGGAAGGCAGACACTGAGTACTTAAGTCATGAATTCATTTAGTATCTCATTCTCAAAGACTAAATACGAACTCTGTTTTGGTTCATACGCTGCCTTCCAAGGGTTTTTGGCATTTTGGTCAGAAGCAGGAACTGGGTGCCCGCAGAACAGCCCATCTGACCGAGGTTCATCTCCTGCGTCCGCAGCCGCTTTAAAGCTTCAAAAGACGCTTGCTATCCCAGCGCCCCAGCGCCCCAGCGCCCAGGCCCGTCCCAGCCGGGTGGCGCGCAGTGAGGCGGTGCGGCGGCATCCCTTCCCGAGGCGGGGACTGAGGCGCGGGCCGCCCCTCCAACATGGCGGCGGCCGAGCAGCAGCCGCCGGCGGCCGATGGCGGCAAGGCGCTGAGCGCGCTGCTGGGCGGCATCGCGCAGGCCGCCTACTACGGCAAGGCCGACATCACGGAGGAGCTGTTGCGCGGGCAGCTCTACCCCGAGGCGGCGCCGGAGGAGTTCCGCGCCCTGCGCGCCAAGATGGGCGGCCTGCTGCAGGTAGCGGCGGGCGGGCGGGCGGGGCCGTGAGTGGGAGCGCAGCCCTGGCTGGGCGTCTTTAACACCCGGGTGCGGTGTCGAGCAGCCAGAAGGGAGGGCCGAGGTCCTTTGTATTGCCAGTATGGAAAAGACTCCCTGTCTTACATCGACTTTTGCTGACCTTGTAGGGGTGTGAGTACCTACGTTAGATGGGATGATGAGTTTTTTCCCTGTTATATACGTGTGCTGTCGGTTCATGGTTAGAGGCAGAAGGTTTCATTGCCCTTGTGACTATTTAATTCCGTGGTACTCGGTGTCCTCTAAGTAGTAATCAGAAGTCACTATGGTAAATTAGCCAGTTCATTGTATCAGGGCTTGGTGAAGGTAAAGGGCTTCCATGTCCCCTCCCACATTCCATATGTGCAAAGCTTGGTAATTTCTGGAGCACGAGGAAAACAGGGAGGTGAAATAGAGACCACAGGATTTACTGCAGCAACAAGTATTTAATTGCACCCTCCTATCCCCCCATATCTTTGTATACTCCTGGTTTATTTATAAAAGCTGTCTTAATGATCCATTTCTTCTGTAGAACTGTGTAGTTTTCTGCAGAACATTTACAATCATCTGATCCCTTTCTAAGGTGCCCAATTTATTTCATGGAACAGTCATGTTACTGTACTGCTTTCACATCATGTGAACTTTTTTGAGAAATGTAATTCCTTGTGTGGTGTTTCCTAGGAGGTAGAACAAAGCTCTGGAGGGCTGGCCTTGGAGAGTTGCAGCATCTCAGTTGTGTATTTCCCAGCCTCCTATCCCATCAGACTTCAAAGCATTGAGAAACTGGGGGAGATCAGCTCCCGGAGGTTCTCCCAGCTTTTGGCTTTCAAAGACCTCACCTTGATGAAAATACCGAATTTGTCTCTTCCTTATGGCAGCTGAATTTGCTGAGTTAGTTCCTGTGGTAAGAGAAGTAATGCCTTTCCATCTGCAGTAATTCTGCTCTTTTCCTTTTGGTGGCAGCAGGCTACTGGGATTACTGTGCGTGCTGGTTGTGGTGCTGGAGGTGTCGTGGCTCTGGCTGTGCTTCAGAATTGTAGGTTGCCTGAATGAGCACAAAGTCAGCACGAGGAGTCTAAATATGTTGTTATATTCGATTATCAATATGTATTTTTACTGAAGGCGTTACCATCTGTAACAACTACACCAGTATGCTGCTGGTAAAATATTAAACTGTACATAAGGAACATGTGACAACCCAGTGTTTGATGTGCGACATATGAAATGCTTCCATACTATGTGCACGTGACATAACAGTCTGTACCCTTCTTCCTTCTCTTGTTTTCACAAGCAACTGTCCGACAGTTGTACCTGCTTTTCTGGTGACCATAGTATTTCATCTCACTGTTATTCAAACAGGAGGAGATGGTATCTTACCTGTGTGGCTCTGCGGTGCTACTAGCATTCAGTTTTCACTTCAAGCCCCACCTTGAAGCTACTGGCCTTCATAAAAGAGGCTGCCCTCATGTGACAAGTCAGAGCAGAAACATAGATGTAAAATTTACTCACTCAGAATTTACTCACTGTGGAAAAAGAGGCCTTTGTATCTTCTTCAGGATTTCCTCTGGCAGCCATTGGTGGCAGGGGAAAAAAAACCACCTTCTTGCCTCTTGCAATGTGTCAAGAAAGCTGTCGTTTTTCCTTCTCTCAGTAAGTTACGAACCTTCAAATACCTGGGTTGGTCACGGGCTCCTTTTATTGAATGCTTTGTAGTTACCATGCAAGTCTAAGCTCCTGCAACCTCAGAGGCAGAGCAGCCTCAGTGCAAAGGCTGAGATAAAACAGTTTGGGAAAGTTGATGTGGAAGATGGCTTGTTTTCTGATGGTTAGAATTGCTGTTGTGCCTGCATCTGCTAACAGAGATCATTGGATATGCTTATTCTTATCAGCTCTTATGAAAGTGAGCAGTTAACCTGTAAAATAGTATCAGTATCAAAATAGTCTTCTGTCCATATCAGATACATTCTACGCACATTAGCTTGGTACATAGTTTCAAACCTTTCATTCTTACAGCTGTGCTTATTTTGGACTACTTCATTTGTTATTGGGCTAGGAAAAAATGTGCTAACAATAACTTAGCATATAATTTTGTGAGGGGAGGAAGATATATTTTCTGTGTTGTAATTGGACATGCATGGGAAAACGATGAACTAAACTGCTGCGTGCCTGGGACAGCTGAATAACAACCATAGGCTTTTTTATTTTGTTTTTAATTGAGTAAAGCACCCCTATTACATAGCTCACTAGTCTGAATACAGCTCAGCTACCCCTTCATTTTCTGTTCTTTATGCCTAATGTTATCTCTTTCTTTTTAAATTTCAGCATCATCATAGAACAGTAGAGAGCTGAATGCTTACTTTAAATGCCATCTACTATACTACAGTGACAAAAATGTTTGCTCTTTTTAGGGTTCCTCCCATGTTTGTTATTTTTGCTTTCAGTTTGTGTGTATGTAATCAGTTCAGATCAGGGCTGGTGCAGCTGCCAGTTGCAGGAAGAACACTGAAGTGGAGAGAAGTTCTTTGAAAGAAGGAATGGGTGAGGAGGGCTGGCTGCAGGCTGTTAGACAGCTGGAGGACACTTAATGTAGTAGTGTGGTGCTTCACTGCCTGGAGCAGCAATTGTCTGCTCGTATGTGCCAGTTAATAAGAGCAGTATGCTCTCATCATTCTGGATTTCTTTTAGTAGTCATCATTTTCAGTTTTTCTGATTGTAAAACTCAATGGTTTATTAAGCTTAAGCCTTTCACATTCTGTTTCCATTACTATTTTAATTGCTGAAGAGACACTTAGATGGCAATGCTTTTGCTGGGTGCTAGAGGATGCTGAGGTGATGAAATCTGTAGTGTGAGCAGACTTCTATAAATTGGGCTGTCATTCAGACAAAGTAGGGTAGGCAGCAATTCTCCTTTCCACGTGGGAATAATAACCTTTGTGGTGCTCCTGCTGCTGTGCAGTGATGACTGCAGTTACTGAGTGCAGGCAGAAACAAGGACTCTGGTATAGCATCGTTCACTTAAGCAGTAGTATTTTCCACAACTCAAGGTTCGAGACAGGGTGAAAGATCACCTCCTTATGAGACCAATCCTAGACTCATTTCATTTGGGACTGTGAAGTACTGATATAGCATAAATGTGCAATGTCACTGGAAATCATGTACTTCATATTTAATGGTTTACTTGACCTATTTCATTTATGTGTCATCTTCATAGATCTATAGAATGGCTCATGTTGGAAGAGATCATCAAGTTCCACCCCCCTGCTGTAAGTAGGGTTGCCAACCACTAGGTGAAGTACTACAGCAGGTTGCCCATGGCCCCATCCAGCCTGGCCTTGCACGCTTCCAGGAATGAGGCATATAAAACCTCCCTGGGCAACCTGTTCCATCACCACCCTCTCAGTGAAAAACTTCCCCTGACATCTAATCTATATCTTCCTTCCTTTAGTTTAAAGCCGTTCACCCGTGTCCTATCACTATCTATCCTTGTAAAGAGAAAGTTGATTTCTCATGTTTATAAGGCTACTCTCCAGGAGTTCTCCCAGTCTGTATATGCATCTGTGATGACTCTGACCCAACTGCAAAACCCTGCATTTTGCTTTGTCGAGCCTCAGTAGGTTCACATGGGCCCACCTTTTGAGTTATCGAGGTCTTATCTATGGCCAAGTGGTAAATTAAAAGGAGGAGGCAAACTTGCATTGTTGATCTAATAGGTGTGTTAAGCTTTGCATTGCTCAAAATAAGTCTGTTTTTTCTCAATTACTGTGTGGATATTTGATTGGTTTTCTTTTAGTTCTTATTAATGTGTCAAACAGAGGGGAAAAAGAGACAACTTATGTTTTTTTCCCCCTTTTCATGGCCTGAATTATAGTAGGAAGGCAACTATTGTTAGTTTAGAAAACAACTGGAACTGAAAAGATAGCAGTGACTTCATTACCTTCTTCAGCATTTCCACCATTTTTTTGGGAATAGGAAATGGAGCATAAGTTTTATTGAAATAAAGGCAGAAAACTACGTGTGAATCCTAAGGGAGTCTTCCCCTTTTCAGATATATTCTAAAAGATATATTCTAAAAAGCATGTGTTTGACAAACACTAATTAAGAAAAGTAGAAGCATTTAATTTATAGCAATGAACTTCAAAAGCAAGATCCAACTCTTTAGTCTTCAGTCAGATTAGGCTCTTGCTAATGCCAATGGAAAGCAGCCAGGCTGGACTAATGAATTTCAGCATAACCAAAACACATCTTTCTGTGCTCTGTGTGAGCTCCTCCTTTGGTGGAAGGTTTGGTTACAGCTTACTGAAAAGGCCTCAAATTCATCCCCAGACGAGCTTCATCTTCAGGACAAGGTGAAATGAGTGACTTCCTTAAAGGGAAAGCCTTAAGCATTTCAAATATTTTACTTAGTTGTTTTGTTTCTTAATCATTATAAATAATGATAAATAGTTTCAACACAGTAAGTTTTTCTCCACATGCTTATCAAGTACTTCTAATGTCATACCAGACTGGAAACTGGAAGACCTCAATTGTGAAGGATGTATTTCATAATTCTCTCATTTAGGATGTTAATGTATGTTGGAAAGCTGCTTCTCTCGGTTCTAGCAGCAATAATTGCAGTGCAAGTATAGTTAGAGTCAATTCCTTGTTTTTCCAAATAAGGTTAAATTCTTTTTCTTGTCAATACGTATCTGTATCTCTGCCAAAAGATTCCTAACTCAGCTTGGTGGGTAGTTTTCATGCTTTGCGGTTTCCATAAACTGTGATGTCAGGATTGTGAAATGTGCTTTTAGGATACATGCAGGCATTGGAGTAGAATCTTGGTAAAAGGCAGGAGAGCAACAGATGTGTTTACTCTGAGTCTTTTTTGCATGTGACTCTGCTGTCTCTCTTCAGACTGTCGTGTCTGATGTGTGATTCATTCATGCTCTTTTTGCCATTTCTGGTTCAAGTGTAATTGGTGTACTGTT